GTAGAATAAGTGCTTACCTGGCAAGTGCAAGGTCCTGCGTTCAATCGCTAGTTCTAAAAAATAAAAAATAAAAACAGGAGGGCCTGGGCTGGCCAGATAGCTCAGTGTACTAAAGTGCCTGCTTTAGGCAGACACAAGGACTGGGGTAGATCCCTGGTGTGCTGTGCTAGCACTGCTCCTGGGGCACGCTGAGACAGCAATTGAGACTGGGCATGGTGGCACATGCCTGTAATCCCAGTGCTTGGGAGGCTGAAAACAGGAGGATCACTACAAGTCCGACTGTGTAATGAGACCCTGTACGCCCTGTACTAAATACATTTTTTTAAAAAATGAGGGCCTCATGGCCCTAAGACATAGCAATTGGCCTTACAAAAAATGCCCTAGCATGGGGTTGGCTGCTCCAGGAGAATGATTCTTGTGTTTGTATTTTCCTCCCAAGAACATTCTGAAGCTGAGCAAGATGTACCTCGTTACAGACGCTGGTCTCCTTCCTGCCCACGTCTGGCTCAGTTATTCACTGAGGTGAGTCATGCTCCACTGGAGAGAGAATGTGCTATAATTTTATATTTTTCATGCTATCCTTTACAAAAGTCTATATAGTAAAACAAATCAGAAAATCACTATAAACTTTATCAGCGATTCATAGATTTATCATTTGTAAAAAGAAATTATTCATGCTCTATATTAGAGAACTTCCTCAGAATGAATATTTGCAGCTCATATCTTGATTCCTAGGGTGAAACAGAATCTGTGTATTGATTTATTAAGTATTTCTCAAATGTCCAATGATGTTGAACATTTTTTCATATACTTGCCACCTGCATTTCTTCATCTAAGAAATATGTATTCATCTCAGATGCCCATTTTTAATTTTACCAATGTGAATTATAAACATTACACAGTACAAACCACAAATAAATGAGCTTCTTGAATTTTAAAAGTGATCAGCTATACTTATCAATGAATAAATGAGGATGAAATGACGAAATCACACGAGCTACCTACACCTCTATGTTATTAAACTCGTTACACTGAAAGCCACTAAGAGCAGAATGCAGTGGAAGCAGATTCTCCTGCTCTCCGTGCAGGAGGAGCGTCAGACCATGTGCCCAACCCACCCAGGACACAAGGGCGGAGCACGAAGGAACTGAGTGAGGCCCGAGGAGGGGGGTAGCTGACCTCAGTGCCCTAAATTGCTAGTGGCAAAAAGGGACCTCATTCAACTGCCAGGTGTAACAGAGAAGAACGCAGACAGGAGAGAGGCACTAAGATGCGTCCCCCAAGGGCCCTGCCTCCGACCCTGTATGACCCCCAAGGGCTCCAACGTACGATGCTGACATTCTGCTCCCTTCTTCAGGCCTGCTGAAATCCAAACTCACACGAAGATGCTCAGCTTCTGATGGTTCTTCTGTAGAGATCTAGTTCCAAATGCACAACTGATTCTCTGATGGTATACCTGCAATACTGCCTCCACTGGCCGGTCCCTGTTGGTCCCCGGAAGTCAGCCCAGGAATCATCTTCCTTTGGCCTCCCCTTGCCTTTGCCCTTGCCCTGACCCCAGGGCCAAACACACCTTCCTCCACCCTCATGTCTATGGTCCACCTCTTTATCCATCTACCATGTTAAACTATGTATCAAGGAATGATGTTAAAATTTAAAATTTTTGATCAGCAATGGCGATACCTTATCAGAATATAAGATGTTGCTCTGTCGAAGTACCTGGTGGCCACCTGTTACCCTAGAAGGAGGTGCCTTTCTCCCAGAAGACAACAAACTCCTTAGAAACAAAGACTGAATTTTATTGATCAAAATACGACCTCCGCCTGGCACATGGGAGAAGCTCATTAAATGCTTGTGGGTTGAACCGAGGCTCAGCTGCTCTGTGAAGGCAGAGACTTCCACTTACGATGGCACTGTCCTCCGGTTACCTCCTCTCGTTGTACTCATTTATCGTGTTCAGGCCTGGGCTTTTCTAGTTTTGTATACTCAGATAGTAACTAAGGTAGGCAAACTGCAACGGAAAATAAAATCCTGAGCTTTCCGAAGTTAATTATAAAGACTGCTATAGTTTTAGGTACGCTAAACATCTGCAAGTTCTCATCAGTTATGCAGCCTGGTCCCTCCAGGAACAGGGTCCTGGCCCCACCCCACCATTTGCAAGCTCTCTTCCTACATTTCTTTCACACAAATTCTTAACCAGCTCAAGAGATGATATTTTTAAACAGCTGCCGAATCATGAAGTAATCTCTTGTAGCTGGGGGAGCTCCAGAATATAAACTTATTGTGAGGTTATATAAATGCTGACAGTTTCTTTGGGACATCAAAACTGAAACAGAAGTTAGCAGATCATCCACCAAAGTCCTTCATCTGCCGCCCTGTCAGAACATCGATGAAGCCACATGAACTCGGTACCAAACGTCCCTTCACAGAGGCAGCTCTCGGGCAGTGCTTGGAGCTGGCACACGGCGGCTCCACTTAGCCCCACGTGGGCACTGCTCTGACGTTTCCATTTACATGGTTTCCTTTTATGCTTACAGACTGCAGCATTCACAAGAGAGGACTTGTGCTGAACGTACAGTGGATTTTATTTTCCACTTTGTAAGATGTATGTAGTTCATTATGAGGTTTTAAAACAGACATTCCCAGACTTACCATCCTGTAGCAATAAAATATTGTTTGGATCAAAAGATTGGTTGTACATGGGAAAAAAAAAAAAAGAAGAAGAAGAAGCTCACAAAACCGTTCAGGTTAGAGAGTCAGTGTTTTTACACTTTTAAATGAAGAATGACTCAGTGACAGAAAAGATTAAGAGAAAAGTCAGCCTGGTGGGACCCAAAGGAAAACCAAAGGAGTTTTCATTGAAACACATGTTCTGCTGCGACTGGTTTCAGTGTGACAGCTTTGAAGGCGCATTATGGAATTGGAAAAACCCCGAGGAAAATCATTCTGCATGAAGAATGAAGTGGACAGTCACAGCACAGTGTCGTCACGGCTCTCCGAGAGGCTCACAGTGCAGATGCGGCTAGCTCTCCCGGCTTGGAGCTGGAGGGTGCAAACGCTCAGTCGTGACGATGCTGCTGCAACTTACAGACGAGCTTGGCTGAGGGAGGGAGGGAGGGAGGGAGGGAATAAGTGAGTGAGAACCAAAACCAAGGTGACTTTGGGGAACTCAGGCTGGACATGCAGCCCCACTCTGTGTAGAGGGGCCGACAGATCGTATTTTATTCACCTAGCCCACAGGAACAGAAGGGATGAGCTTCCTTCGTTGCTGTTTTCAGCATCATCTTGCTAACGTCCTGCATGTCTCATAGTGCTCATCGTACCTGGTTGTCTGTAGTTTTGTATCAAACACAAAATCCAAACCAACTGCTCTCTAAAGTGATCGAGAAACAATGCGTCTTAAAATGGAAAAAAGCCAGTATCATTCCTGTAGCAGAAACTGTACACACACCACACACACCACACACACACACACACACACACACACACGCACACATGCACACACACGCACTCGCATGCCCACCAGTTAGTGATTCTTCAGATTCTTGGTTGTTCCAGCTCAGGTTGCTTCTGTCTTTTAGAAACAGCTGGTCACTGTGATGCACAGCTGGTCACTGTGATGCACAGCTGGTCACTGTGAT